CCCAAACACACACACAAACACAGCAACACACAAACACACACACACACACACACATACACACACACACAACCACACACGCATGATACACACTATTACTCATAGCGAAATGATTCCCCGCCCAATGAACCGTCGTGAGCAATTATCAGTCACAGCAATTAAATAATCAGTCTCATTAGCATCTCACTCATTAACTCACTTCATTAGACACAAATACCTGAGGCAATTAAAACGCAACAGAGAGAAGACGTTTAAGATATGCGTTACATATTTTTCATTTCAATATTAATTTAAAAAAAATATATTTCTTTTTTTTTTGTTTATTTGTTCATCTGTTTTCAATTCATTTCGTTATTTTTTAATGATTTTTTTTCTTTCGTGTGTAATGTATGACTTTAAAAAAAATTATCTGTAATTAATAATAAAAATGTTAAGTTATAGTTATAGTTATCATATTCACTACAGCAGCTACTACTACTACTAGTACTGCTACTTTTACTATAAGTACAACTACTACTATTACTACTAGTATTACTACTACTACTACTACTACTATTACTGCTAATGATAACGACAATGATGATCAAGAATAACAACAGAATATAGCACAGACGAATAAAAAAGCTAAAATGAAGGAAAAAAAATAGTCGATAGAGGGAAAAAAATCGATGACAATGGCAACACTCTCATATCTTACAAACTATATACATTGTCAAATACCATAATGTTTTTTTTTTTCTCTCTCTCTCCTTCGTGTTTCGAAAGAATAATAATTAAAATAATATTTCGAATAATATTTCGAAAGATTGACATTCAAAGCCTGAGTGATACATCTACTTTGAATGTCAGTCTGGAGTCAGAGGGAAAACTATTGACGATTTAGAATAAACAAGGAAGGGAAAGAAAGAAGGAAGAAAGGAGGAAGGAAGGAAGGAAAGAAGGAGGAAGGAAGGAAGGAAGAGGAGAATAAAATATAGGAGAAGGGGGAGGAAAGAAGGAAGGAAGGAATGAGGAAGGAAGGAAGGGGAGAATAAAATATAGGAGAAGGGGGAGGAAAGAAGGAAGGAAGGAGGAAGGAAAGAAGGAAGAGGAGAATAAAATATAGGAGAAGGGGGAGGAAAGAAGGAAGGAAGGAAAGAAGGAAGGAAGAAAGGGGAGAATAAAATATAGGAGAAGGGGGAGGAAAGAAGGAAGGAAGGAAGGAGGAAGGAAGGAAGGGGAGAATAAAATATAGGAGAAGGGGGAGGTAAGAAGGAAGGAAGGAAAGAAGGAAGGAAGGAAGAGGAGAATAAAATATAGGAGAAGGGGGAGGAAAGAAGGAAGGAAGGAGGAAGGAGGAAGGAAAGAAGGAAGAGGAGAATAAAATATAGGAGAAGGGGGAGGAAAGAAGGAAGGAAGGAGGAAGGAGGAAGGAAGGAAGGAAGAGGAGAATAAAATATAGGAGAAGGGGGAGGAAAGAAGGAAGGAAGGAAGGAGGAAGGAAGGAAGAGGAGAATAAAATATAGGAGAAGGGGGAGGAAAGAAGGAAGGAAGGAATGAGGAAGGAAGGAAGGGGAGAATAAAATATAGGAGAAGGGGGAGGAAAGAAGGAAGGAAGGAAGGAGGAAGGAAGGAAGGAAAGAAGGAGGAAGGAAGGAAGGGGAGAATAAAATACAGGAGAAGGGGGAGGAAAGAAGGAAGGAAGGAAGGAGGAAAGAAGGAAGGAAAGAAGGAGGAAGGAAGGAAGGGGAGAATAAAATATAGGAGAAGGGGGAGGAAAGAAGGAAGGAAGGAAGGAGGAAGGAAGGAAGAGGAGAATAAAATATAGGAGAAAGGAGAGGAAAGAAGGAAGGAAGGAATGAGGAAAGAAGGAAGAGGAGAATAAAAGATAGGAGAAGGGGGAGGAAAGAAGGAAGGAAGGAAGGAGGAAGGAAGGAAGAGGAGAATAAAATATAGGAGAGGGAGAGGAAAGAAGGAAGGAAGGAGGAAGGAGGAAGGAAGAGGAGAATAAAATATAGGAGAAGGGGGAGGAAGGAAGGAAGGAAGGAATGAGGAAGGAAGGAAGAGGAGAATAAAATATAGGAGAGGGAGAGGAAAGAAGGAAGGAAGGAGGAAGGAGGAAGGAAGAGGAGAATAAAATATAGGAGAAGGGGGAGGAAAGAAGGAAGGAAGGAATGAGGAAGGAAGGAAGAGGAGAATAAAATATAGGAGAAGGGAGAGGAAAGAAGGAAGGAAGGAATGAGGAAGGAAGAGGGAAAGAATAGAATATAGAAGGAGGGAGGGAGGGAGGTTGGAGGGAGAATAGGGAGAAAGGAAGGAGAGATGAAGGAAAAGAAGAATAGGAGATAGAAAAAGAGATGGAAGGAGAAAGTGAAGGAAGGGAGGAAAGAGGAAGGAGGTAGCAAGAAAGGGAAGAATAATGAATAGAAGGAGGGCATGAGGGAGAGAAGGAGAAAGAAACGGACGAAAGGAGGATGGAAGGGGGAGAGAAAGAATCGAAGGGTGAGAGGAGAGAAGAGAGGGA